GGTTTGTAATAACATGTGATTAGGGGTAAAATAATTTGAAGGGGATTTGAAAATGGCACTTGTTATCAAGGGCGACTTGTTATCGAGGGTCTTCTTATCAAGGTTCCACTGTATTACTGAAATTGACGTTTCGAATCAATGGTGTCCGAATTCTTTACGCATTAACGTCGCCTGAGGCCAAGAATACTTTGTCATATAATTTAATTTAGAAATTAGTCGAATTTACACAAGTGACGCGGCAACTAACATTGTTTTTCCGGATTACCAACCAAAATGACCATTTTTAATTCTACTTTTATTGCAATGTCTAAAACAACAAGGTTTCTACAAGCAGAAAATGTACATAACTAGGAGATGCGTATTTGGACGCTGGCGATGCGAACAATTGACTTGATGAGGTCAACATAGTAGTGATAAAAGTTCGCCAGACTTATCAATTTTCGAGTGTTTTATCTTTAAATCTCGAGAGCTCTCGAATACATTGTAAACTTCCGTCAACAAATCAGCTGTTGCATACTCCTCCTCTTTCCTGGATTATCACACTCCAATGTTATCCAATGTTGTCACTCGAATACATTGTAAACTTCCGTCAACAAATCAGCTGTTGCATACTCCTCCTCTTTCCTGGATTATCACACTCCAATGTTATCCAATGTTGTCACTCGAATACATTGTAAACTTCCGTCAACAAATCAGCTGTTGCATACTCCTCCTCTTTCCTGGATTATCACACTCCAATGTTATCCAATGTTGTCACTCGAATACATTGTAAACTTCCGTCAACAAATCAGCTGTTGCATACTCCTCCTCTTTCCTGGATTATCACACTCCAATGTTATCCAATGTTGCCACTCGAATACATTGTAAACTTCCGTCAACAAATCAGCTGTTACATACTCCTCCTCTTTCCTGGATTATCACACTCCAATGTTATCCAATGTTGTCACTCGAATACATTGTAAACAGGTGTGTCGATGAAATCTATTTGATTAGGAATTACATTAATTGTTTGTCATCTACATAGGCTAGATCAACGATTTAAAATCAGTGTTTTTGTTTGTTCATGTTCATCATTAAAAATGTTGTGTTATTTGTGTTTCGGTGTTGTAATTTATGTTTGTTGTTCTGTGTGAAAACAAATCAGCTGTTGCATACTCCTCCTCTTTCCTGGATTATCACACAGTGTCTACTTGTCCCGATCATTTTTGATCTTTGTCCTAAATCCTCCTTTAAATTTTTATCACAATTTTGCTGTTTCAAATTTTAATTTTTGGGCCTTAGGTTGTTCTAATTTTTATATTTTTAGCACCCCGAGGTATAATATATACCATATATATATATAAAACTTTATTATATATATATTATACTAGGTGATTGCTAATTTTTATAACAGGTTGTTGTCCTGGCAAACTGTTCACTTAAAGTAATGTCTGTGATTAAAAAAAATATTTTGATTTTGGTAAACAAGAGTAATATGGTACAATTGCAGTTTGCATCTCGGTTACTTAAGGCAATATTACTTTATAATTGGTCCTAAACAGATAATAACCATGCATTATTTTACTCGTATAGCCAATGCCTACTATTTGTCCTCTGGAGAATACTGTATGCCTACTACCACAACCACTGGTTCCTCAAGTGTCATCAACTTAAAATGTTATATACTTCATCTCCCTCCTAGTCGCTAGAAACCCATCACCTCACCTCCACTAATACCAAATCATTTTTCCCTAGACGAGCTTCATCTCATATCATGCATCTCATCTCATTCATCATCTCAGTCTTCTGGACCACCGCCTCATCTCGAATCTGCCCCAGCATCGACCTCAGAAACAACCTCGTCTCCCTCGACCTCCTGAGGGGATGTCGTGTCGTGGAAGGCTACGTCAGGATCGTGCTGATGGAGAGAGCTGTCGAAGCGGACTTTGAGAACCTCACCCTCCCCGAGCTCCGGGAGATCACTGACTACCTCATGTTCTACCGGGTCAACGGACTGCGGACGATCGGGAGGGTGTTTCCCAACCTGGAGGTGATCGGAGGCCACAGGTTGTTCGAGGACTACGCCCTCGTGGTGTACGAGATGTTCCAGCTGCAAGAGCTAGGTCTGCACTCTCTCGCTAGTGTCGTGCGTGGAGCGGTTCGCATCGAGAAGAACCCCTGTAAGTAGGTGTTTCTGGATGTAAAGTATCCTAGTTGTGGACTTCATGTTGGTGTTTGGTGTTGCACATACAAGAGATGAACAGGTGATGTGGGGATGAAGATGACATTTAGTCAGGCAAGTCTCTTGGCTTCAAGAAGAAGAAACTTTATAAATTGGTGGTGTCTTTGGTTGGCAATTTAGTGTCGTGGTTTGAAGTTGCTGTTGATGTTTAGTGTTGTACATGCAAGAGATGAACATTTGATGTGGGTGTCAGGTTGAAATTTCGCCAGAAAATCTGTTGGCTTCAAGAAGAAGGCGTGGTTTGAAGTTCATGTTTGTGTTTGGTGTTGTTGCAATGATGAAGGGATGATCATGTGATGTGGGGATGATGGTGACATTTCGTCAGAGAAAGTCTCTTGGCTTTGGGAAGGATCTTTGTAAGTAGGAGGTGTCTGTGTTTGGTGTTTTAGTGTCGTGGTTTGAAGTTCCTGTTGATGTTTGTAGTTGTTGCAATGATGAAGGGATGATTATATGATGTGGGGATGAAGGTGACATTTCGTCAGAGAAAGTCTCTTGGCTTTGGGAAGGATCATTGTAAGTAGGAGGTGTCTTTGGTTGGTGTTTAACTGTCGTGGTTTGAAGTTCCTATTGATGTTTGGTGTTGTTGCAATGATGAAGGGATGAGCATATGATGTGGAGATGATGGTGATATTTCGTCAGGAAAGTCTCTTGGCTTTGGGAAGGATCTTTGTAAGTAGGAGGTGTCTGTGTTTGGTGTTATGTCGTGGTTTGAAGTTCCTATTGATGTTTGGTGTTGTTGCAATGTTGAAGGGATGATTATATGATGTGGGGATGATGGTGATATTTCGTCAGGAAAGTCTCTTGGCTTTGGGAAGGATCATTGTAAGTAGGAGGTGTCTGTGTTTGGTGTTTTAGTGTCGTGGTTTGAAGTTCCTATTGATGTTTGGTGTTGTTGCAATGTTGAAGGGATGATTATATGATGTGGGGATGATGGTGATATTTCGTCAGGAAAGTCTCTTGGCTTTGGGAAGGATCTTTGTAAGTAGGAGGTGTCTGTGTTTGGTGTTTTAGTGTCGTGGTTTGAAGTTCCTGTTGATGTTTGGTGTTGTTGCAATGTTGAAGGGATGATCATATGATGTGGGGATGATGGTGACATTTCGTCAGGAAAGTCTCTTGGCTTTGGGAAGCATCTTTGTAAGTAGGAGGTGTCTGTGTTTGGTGTTTTAGTGTCGTGGTTTGAAGTTCCTGTAGATGTTTGGTGGTGTTGCAGTGAGACTAGAGATGGACATTATAATCATGAATTGTGGATATTTATAGGGATGCACTGTGGATGCGATGCTCCCTGGTGTGGATTAACCGCACTAGTGAGTACTACGACTATACGCAGTACTATCCTGATAATTAGACCAATTCGTAAATTGCAAGGAAAAAAATAATGTGGTTCGGATTCCACTATAAACTGTAGGTCCCTTAGTTGCCATTAGCTGTATGGGCTATTAATTAACAGCTGTGTCTAAGGAACATGTCGGCCTTAGTCACTATCAAGACTACAAGATCGCGCCACTCATCCTACACTCATCCTTCACTCATATTTGGGTTAAAATACGCACATAGTGGCGTCCCCATCTTAAATAATTGATAATTGATAATTGATGTAGGGATAAAGGTGACATATTGTCAGAGAAATCTGCTTCATGAATAAGAATCTTTGTAAGTAGGAGGTGACTTTGGTTAATGTTTTTGTGTCGTTGTTTGAAGTTCCTGTTGATGTTTGGTGTTGTTGCAATAAGGCAAGAAATGAACCTCTGATGATGTAGGGATGATGGTGATATTTCGTCAGGGAAGTTTCTTAGCTACAAAAAGAAGAATCTTTGTAGGTAGCAGGTGTCTTTGGATGGTATTTTAATGTCGTGGTTTGAAGTTCCTCATGAACTTCCATTGTTCCATTGACGTTGGTGTTGCTGCAATCAGACAAAATAAACATGATTTGTAAATATAAGATGTGCATTCATTAGAGACCCGTAGAACCTTATGTCCATTGGCTTTTGCGTCGATAAGAACTCGTGTAAATAGGAATTGTCCTTAAATTGTATTTTAGGATCGCGAACTTCTATTGGTGTTAGGGTTTGTATTACAACTCCTGTAGGCAGGAAGTGATCCTGAAAGGAGAACATGTCTGTGATATTGTACTGTATTTTCGCGAACAACTTGACGTTCTAAACTTAAAGTTTAAGAAATATTTCGTTGGTGAGTTTTCGATTTCGTGACGGTACCTGATAGCATATGTATATTATGTTATTTTGCCAATCTTGGTGAAATCTATTTACTTTCTATTTTGAAATATTCCTGAACAACTAAAGGGTTTTTTCAAACACAATTTTTTGAGCCTGGAAAAATAACTTTGCTATTAGCGTATATTATAGGGTTAAGTTTGAAATCGATTTAGTTTATCCTACTGAGTCACCTAGCAGCCTGAATTTTGATCTTTTTCGTGTCTAATAAGGTAAAACTTCAAACGCTGTTACTTGGATCCATACGATTGAAAATCTCCGTGCCTTTGTGTAATCTAACTAATTTTTTATGTGTAATTTTATTTTACCAAAAATGAAAGATTGTATTGGTTCTTGGGCAAGGTATTTTAACGATAAAAAACTAACATTTGTATACAAGTAAACACAATTTAACTTGTTTACTTTTGTACTGTGATTTAGTTTATTGCACAGACACGCTAGGGTGTACTATAAAAAATCTGTTCAGAAATACGTAGAAGCGTTGCCAAAACTAGATTATCAGTAACTAATTTAACCTTTGTACATTTTAATGTTTCTTTTCTTTTTAGGTTATAAATAAACAAAGCGGATTTTGTTGAAGTCGTAACATCAATGCTTTAACTGTCGATTAACAAACCGTAAAAATCTCTCTTTGGTCGCAATGTCTTTTGAACTTTTCCGTGAGGACTTTCGAGGTTGGATTTTGAAAGGGCAAAGATGAATGTGAATCTCCTCTTCGTCCTTCTGGGTCTCCTGCGTTCTTCTAGCGGCCGAATCTGCCATAGTATCAACATCCGCAACGATGTGTCCAACCTGGAGAAGCTGGCCAATTGCACCGTGGTGGAAGGATATGTACAGATAGTGCTGATTGAAAGAGCCACCGAGCAGGACTTTGAGCCCTGGAGTCTTCCTGAGTTGAGAGAGATCACCCAGTACCTCCTGTTCTACAGAGTCAAGGGTCTGAGGAACCTGGGGAAGCTGTTCCCCAACCTGGTGAGGATCGGCGGCTCCAGTCTCTTCATCGACTACGGCCTCGTCATCCACGAGATGTTCAGCCTCCAGGAGGTCGGTCTGGCGAGTCTGCAGGAAATATCCAGAGGCTCCGTTATAATCACGAAGAATCCTAGTAAGTATTAGAGTAGTTTATAGTTTGAGTCATTAGGGTTCTACAACTGCTCAGAAGTATCGATCCCGTTTATCTTTTTATCTTAAGGAACTTTGGGATTGGGGAATTCCTCCAATGATTGACAACTATAATTCTTCAAGGTAAGGGTAAGTTTGGATGTTTCAGAGTGGATACAGTTCAGTGGGTTTACTTTGTTGGGGTTACTCTAAATCCTTTGAAAAGTAGGCATATTTTTTTAAATAGCGCCTTTACATGAGATCTTTGGTGCATCCTGAACAGAATTTCCAATTAGTTCCAATGTAGCCATACTGGTTCATGTTTTGGAATTATGACATATATTCTAACATTAATAATTTGGAATTTTAAGTGATGTTAACATGTGCTAAAACGTTTATAGCCTAATAGATCTTTATAAAAATATTCATAATAATGCCTGAGTATTTTTCATAATCTCTAAGCTTTGAAAACGTAGAACAGCGTACAACCCGGCTCCTGCTGTGTTCGCACCCCAAACAATTTATGCATATCAAAGCACTGGAATTTAATAAATCAAAATAGACCTCAAACAAAGTCTGATATTCTTGATCCGTCTTTTGCATCTGCTGATGAATTCAATTCGTACTTTGTTGAGTCTGTTGAGTCCATCTTGTCAACCATTCCAAATATAACGCAATCCTCTCCTGTGATCCTGTCAAGCATACCTGATGGTGCACCTACTTTTGAATGGAAACATGTATCGGTCCAAGACATTATTAATGCTGTTATGGGCTTTAAACTCTCTAACAGTAAAGATGTGTATGGCATGACACCTAATCTTTTGAAACACATTGTGTGGGCACTGGCACCTATACTAGCCCATTTGGTTAATGTATGCTTTTTAGTTGGCATTTTTCCTGCTCCATTAAAAGTCTCTAGAACTGTGCCTGTCTATAAAAAAGGGTCCCGTGACAATGTTGCAAGTTATCGACCAATATCGTTGATTCCTGTATTTTCTAAACTGTTTGAAGCTATTATGTTTGCTCAATTGTACGACCACCTTGAAGCACACAGCCTTCTGGTGCCTGGTCAATTTGGCTTCAGGAAAGCCAAATCCACTATATTGGCTGTTGATTCTATTGTACAATTAATTGTTGATGCTTTTGAGTCTAAGAAATCTATCTCCGTAATACTTTGTGACCTCTCTCGCGCTTTTGATTGCGTGTCACATGAAATTTTTGCTCCTGAAATTGGGAAAATATGGCCTAGAAGGCAGTGCTCTGAGATTGGTCAAATCCTACCTCAGTGATCGCCAACAGGTTGTAAGTTGGAATGGTATTACATCTAAACCATTAGCTGTAAGACACGGGGTTCCGCAAGGTTCCATTATGGGACCTCTGTTATTTTTAGTAACAATCAATGACCTCTATACCAGACTTGAAGGTAATTGCATGTTGTATGCAGATGATACTTCCCTTATATCATGTAAAGCGACCCGTGAACAAGCAGAGGTGTCTGTTAAGAAGATTTTTGAGTCAGCCTCAAATTGGTTTGTTGACAATAAATTAGTGCTCAATAATGAGAAAACACAGTACATAACATTTAGCCTATGTGATTCCCAGATTGTTCCTTTCCAAGAGCCTGTCAAACTCCTTGGTATAACCCTTGACCCCTGTCTCAATTGGAAAGACCACATAAGCCAAGTCTGTACTAAACTAAGTAGAGTAGTACATCTTTTAAGACGTCTAAGTGACCAATTGCCACAGAGTACCCTTAGAATGTCCTTCTTTGCATTTTTCCAACCTCACATATCCTATGGGTTAATTTTGTGGGGCCACTCACCCAATGTCGAAAAGATCCTGCGACTGCAAAAGAAGTCAGTAAGGATTCTCTGTCATGCTCACTATAAAGAACACAGTAAGCCATTGTTTAAGAGACAAAGAATTCTGACAGTTGCAAATATGTATATATTCCAATGCCTTGTTAGTATTAAGAACAGCATGAATGACTTACATGTAACCAGTTCAGTGCACAATCATGACACTAGGTTTAGTTCTAAGCTTGTCATTCCTCGGTCCAGGACTGATAAAAGAGCTAGGTCATACCCTGTTTCAGGAATAAAGCTGTTCAATCACCTTCCTGGTCATGTGAGAAATCTGGAAAGAAAGAACTTCCAAACCGTAATATTAGACTGGCTAACTGAAAATCTTTTTTTCAAATTTAAAGAGTTTTTTGAAACTGTATTTAGTTAAGTAGCCTAAGTTTTCCTCTAAACAACCTGTTGTTTTTTTGCATTTGTTTTGCTTTGTATCTTTTTGTGCATGGTCTTGAACATATTTTTTTTTTTCACATGGTTGGTTTTGATCGATTTTTGGTTGGTTTGATTTTTAACTCATGATATTTATTTTATTTTATGCTTGTACATTATGCTTGTACATTGACATAGCCTGTAACAATGTTGTTGTTGATTGGCCAAATAAATTCATTGTATTCATTGTATTGTATTCATTGTATTCACTTCTCACAAGGTGTCAACGCATTAACTGGTAGTTCGGTTGGTTAGAACTATCGTAACTACAAAGCAACTAGATGTTGACGTCAATAACTAATCACGTGTCCCACAAACCATCTTAATTCAAGCTTAACTGAAGCAATGATTGTTCTTTTCTATAATCCGTAACTCTAATTAAAACTGCTGACTGTTTCTTGATTACATCTCAACAACAGGATTATTATAACTAAACATCATTACAGTTCCTCAATATAATTTTCAAAACGCGCCTGCATATAATAATCCGTAGTTGCTTTAGTGACAACTAGTTTCGGTTCATAAAATGGACGGAAACTATATCGTAGCCTGGCCACGTAAACTTGAATTACACTGCAATTATTGTCGCAATTGCAAATTTACAACGGCAATCCTGATATACAGCGATGAAAGTGATGTAGGCTACTGTAGTAATAGCCCATGAGTTAATTTAGTACAGAATTACTCTTTGTGATATCACTGTTGCCTATCGTAATGTCAGAGTCGACATCGATTTAACACAGTAACGATTAGTTGATCACAGAAAACTATCTCTGGTAGATAATTCCCATTGGTGACGGACCCGACAACAATAATCACTGCAATATTACAGTGATAACCACGATATTACTTGAGTATTGTGATATCGCAATAATCACCACGACATCACTATGAAAATTATCAACGTGATATCACAGACACAGACAAAACTGTGAGTTCGGCGGACGTACCGACAGAAGGCCCTAATATGCCCAAATTATAAAAGTGCAAGTAAATACGTTCAGGTTTGCACACGAGCAATAATTTAACGTGACGTCAAATGTTTCCAGACTAATTAGTATCTCGTACACAAAATAGCCCGACTACATCTCTAAACTATTAATCTAAATTAACTACTCAAGTGAGACTATATAAGTGTGCGTGCGTAGACGTACAGAATTCTGTGGTAGTAGTGAATTCACTGATAATACTACGCTTAATGGTAGACAGTTCCAAATGTAATTCCCAATATTTCGTCGACATGTTTAGACACCAGATATCATAGTAGAATTAGTCAATATTTGCCATATATTGGCACACTGCACAGAAGTTAACAAAAGAAATGCTGAACACTTTGTTGATCAGCACAGATAAAGGAACATAAAGATGAGTTTTTCTCTTAGTAGTTGTCAAACCAAGTTTGACTTTCCTTTTTTTTGCTTCGCGAATTTCCACTCCCGTAATCGTTTAAGTTATGTAGATTATTATTCTGCTCGTGTCGTTCATAAATAGTTGCCTTCACTTGACATCGTTTGGCAAACAAGTTTCATCGAACTTCTTCAACGTGGAACGCGTATGATACGTTCATTAATACAGTAATTACTCTATTGGATGACGTACATACGTAATTGTGTCTATTACATCTGCTGTTTTTTACACAAGCTTTTAATGAGAAAATATTATGTTATTTCGATATATGCCACAATACAACTGTAAAATACGTTTTGTAAAAAATTTAGACTTATTATAAACCGCTCCCTAAAAAATCGTTACTTTTGACTGTAAAGTTCTAGGAGTTTTGTAAAACGGCGTGTTCATTCAGGATTATTGTAGTTTGTATTGTTTTTTCAATTGAAAGGCTGAAAACAGCCATTTTACACAAATACATCAAATCGAGCCATATTACAAAACGGCTGGTGGCGATCAAGTTTTTTAGATGAAATCCCACAACAGCAAAAGGCTGAACCATCTCAGCCGTTTTGTATTAATTTGTTTAGCCAAATACGGAATTACGGAATATTTTCTACAATAAGGCGGAGTTTTATAAAAAGCCTAAATTTTTAACAAAATGGCTGGTTTTAAAATTGTACTGCGATAGCCTATATTATTTTTGTAGGATTTGGTACGGGATTGTTTTGAAATAATTATAGTGTATAACGATTATGTTCAATCTATGGTATAAGTTATTCAGTAGGCTACTTGTAGCTAGAATAACTTCTGATTCTAAATACCAACAAGTTAATTTGTTCTTATTTGTGTTTCCTAATTTGTATCTACGTCATTGGCATATTTACGTGTTTTGTGAGGGAACGGCTACAATCTACCGTCAACAGTTTTTATGGCACCTGGGTCCAGAATTCATAATTTAGTTTGGAATTGGACCAGCAAAATTCTAATATCAGAGTTATAAGTAAAAGAAACATCCTAATTCAATTTTTCAAATTTACCCGACTGAGTTCAAAACTTCAATAGCTTTAAACTTACACAGCTTAAAACTAACAACTTACAGCTTGAAACTTAAGCATTTAAACTTCATCTGTGCGTGTTTATCACCATAGACAAAAATAATTAAATATAGACTGTCAGCCGTGCTGTGGTTACCATGGTTACCATAGGTTCTGGCGCACACCACTGGGAGCGCCATGTAGTTACGGCCTACGCACTACGTAACTACATGGCGCTCCCAGAGGTGTGTGCCAGAACCTATGGTAACCATGGTAACCACAGCACGGCTGAC